TCTGGGTCGGGGTGTCCAGCTAGGTGTGCCTTGGGAGAGAGGACTATAACTCCCCTGGCTCAGACCCCACTAGGGACTCCCAGCCGGGGTTGGGGCAGCGAGACAAAGGCTGCCAGACCCCAGACCAGACCTGGGCACAGGCCATGCCTGCCAGTTCGGTCAGGAGTGGCATGGGGCCCTTTGGGGAGTGGGGATCCCAGTCCTGCCAGGAGGGCCCTAGAACACCTGTCTCCCCATCATCCCTCCACTCTCCTTCCCCCGGCTGGTATTCACAGCCTGGCTCTTCAATTGTTCTGTGTCCCCATGTTTGCCCCCGCCCCTGAGGCCTGCCTAGCTGACCTAGAGCCCAGCAATGCCTGACCCCCACTTTCAGAGGCCCAGGACATTGGCTGCCAGAACCCAGACGTTCCAGTGCCCCCCCATCCCCCACATCCTGGCCAGGGAGTGCCATAGGCTGACTCTTGCTCCTTCTCCCTCCCCTTCCCCTCCCCCCTCCCCACACACACCTGCATTGGAAGACACACCTGCTGCCAGCCTAGTCAGGTGGGCAGCCCTGCATGGAGGAATGTGGGGGATCCCAGCTGTGGCATCCCAACGTGCCCAGCCCCATGGCAGTGCCTTCCTCCCCCATGGTTTCTCAAGACCCAGGTGTGTTCTAAGACCTGGGCTCTGGGGGGAGGAGGAGGGAGGGGCACAAGTACCCTCCGGAGCAGCCCCTCTGCCTCCTTGTAAAATCCTCCCCAGTGGCAGCTGTGGAGGGGGAGCAGAGCAGATGTGTGTGGGGAGTGTTGTGGGTATAGAGGGGGGCCTGAGTGTATGGAGAGAATTCTGAGCGCAGGTATGTGTATGATGAACATGGACAAGTGTGTTGTTTGTGTTTCTATGGATGGATGTGGTGTGTGAGGAAGAGTGTGTGTGTGCACACAGGGAGGGTTTTGTGGTGTGAAGCAGTGTGTGAAAGAAAGGATGGGTGTTGTATATGAATGGAAGGCTGGATGGACTGTGTGTGTGCGCGCGCGTGTGCATGTGAGATTCTTAAAAAAGGAATGGGTGTTGTGTGTGCGTGTGTATATCTGTCTATTGGAATGAAAGATAAATGCCTTGTGTGTGTATAGATGCTGTGTGTGTGCGAGTGTGTGTGTATGAAAGGAAGGATGGGTGTCCTATATGTGTATTGGATGTTGTATGATTGTGTGTGTGTCTAAATGGAAGAATGGGTGTTGTGTATGTGTCTGTTAGAATGGAAATATGGGTATCGTGTGTGTATGTGCATGTGTGGATGTTGTATTTGTGTGTGCTGAGTGGAAGGATGGGTGTCCTGTGTGTCTATGAATAGAGGGTTGAATATTGTGATGTGTGTGTGTGTGTGTGTGTGTGTGAATGAATGAAGGAGTGGGTGTATGTGTGTGTGTGTAAGTGTGGTGTGAGTGTGTGAAGTGGGAATGGGAATGGGATGTGGGTTGAAGCAGAGTCATGTTTGGGGCCAGATGCAGGCAGGGAGGGTGATGAAGGCAGCCCTCAGGGCCTGGCATGGCTGGTGGGCGGGGCTGAGAGGACAGGGAGGCAGGTGGGGGTCTCCAGAGCCCTGTGCCTGCTTAGTGGCTGTTTGCAGGGGGCCAAGGAAGGCTGGTCTGGCTTGGGGGTCTACCCCTAAGCCCCAACAACATTAAAGTCCCAGACATTCAAACGCCTCCATTTCCCCCCCCCCCCGTCTCCCGTCAAGCCCCCAATAGGCCCACACTGCTCCAGCATCCCTTTCACACAGGCCCCATAACCATCCCAAACCTATCTCTGCCTCTCGCCTTGGCCATCCAAGTCCCCCCTTGGGTCCCCAAACCCCTTCTGGGCTCACATTTCCCCAGCACCTTCCCCCAGACATTCCAGCTTCTCTTAGGCCTCCTCAGAGGCCCCAGACCCTTTTATACCCATCCCCTACCTTTCTTTCCCTGCTCCCTTCTTCTCCCCCTCCCCTAGCCCCTCCCCTCCCCAGCCTCTTTCCGGAGACATCTAGATCCCCATCCCCCTTCATCCCCAAACCCCTCCCCTCAGCTCTCAGCCTCCAGTCCCCTGCCTGCACCCTTCCCCTGCCTCCCATGGAGCCTGCCCCTTCCCCTTGGTGCCCCCCTCAACCTGCCTGTGCCCCCTCCCCCTTGCTCTCCTCCGCAGCGGCAGCAGCGGTGGCCCTGAAACTTTAAACGGTGTTAAAAGTTTCTGTTTACTAGAAGCCCTTGAATTTTTAAGGACGTATCGATTCCCTCCGCCAAGGCCTTGCATCAGCGGCGCAGGACGGGAGGCCAGAGTCGGACCATGGGATCCAGGAAAGAGCTCCTCAAGCATGGAATGACAGACACGCACATACCCAGACACACACACACACACACACACACACTCACCCAGGCACACAGAGACCACACCCCCCCAATACAAGCTGTACACAGGCGGGCTGCCTGACAAAGACACAGCGGCCCTCTCCCTGACACACACGGACCTGTGCCCACACAGATCCTCCCCCTCACTGCCCCAGACCCGCAGGGAGCACCCCCACCGAGAGAAACCCTTCCAGGGACCCACAGACACCTCCTGCCACACAGCCAGTCCCCGAACACAGACAGATACACCGCGACCCTCGCACACTCACGTGCCCCCTGGGCCACATATACTCTAGGACACACAGAAATACCCCCCCCCCCCACACACACACGGGCTTGTCACACACACTGACACCTTCTGACAGAAAGACCCTCGGAGCTCACACACACACACACACACACACACACACACACGGGTCAGCTTGAAACACACATGCTCACGGGGGCGCCCTCGTCACCAGTACTTCCCGTCAAACCCAGACCCCAGCGACACTTGACTCACTAGAATGTCAGCCTCTCAGGGACAGGTCTTTTGTCTTGGTCCTCACCATGTCCCCAATGCTTGGCATGGGGCCTGACAGATGCTCACCCTCTCTGACTGACTCACAGACATCTCCCAGGCGCACAGCCAGACCCACATCACCACGACACAACACTGTCCACACAAAGGGCCTCCTCCACATCCACTGACCGGTGTCTCTGCCCCCAGAGGACACCCAGACCCACCCAGACACCTGAGGACACTGCCACCCCCCGGCCTCGATGGTCTCCTGGGACCAGGAGCATTCCCCCTCAGGGACATTTTTACACACACACACACACACACACACACACACACACACACCTGCACCCCCACACACCTGGGCAGCGGCACCCCTCCGACAGACAATGCATAGCTGAGCATTGCTACAGCTTCTTGGCCCAGGAGGGCAAGAAGGTGCTGGCTGCACCTGGCAGCGGGAGGGAGCTTTGTCTCAGCAGGAGCTGCCTGGGGGCTGTGGCACCACCTCCCCGCCCACTACGGGGGTCACCCAAGGGCTCCCCGTGCACCCACGCCAGGGCCCCTGGCACCATCTCATCCAGGTCCTTTCTACTTTAGAAATGGGGGATCAGGGACCTACATGAGGGCCTACAGCCTCACTGGGTGTGTGTGTGTGTGTGTGTGTGTGTGCACGCGCACATGTGCATGTACCTGAGGCCTCCATGCCTTTTTCTATCCCTGGAGGTTGGGCTGTGCAGCCTCTGCTGGATCTGTGTGTGTCCGTGATCGGGGAGCCAAGGATGAGTGTGTGTGCTGTGTGTGGGAGGGATCCGGGTGCATGTGTGTGGCACCTGTGTGCATGGCTTGGTGATACTATGAAGGGCATTACTAGTTGATTGGGTATCAAAACTGTAGTTCCATATGCCCAAGGCCCAGGGTGCATCTGGGCTCCAGGTGTGTGGTGTGTGTGTGTGTTGCTGTGACTGCCAGTGTCCCTTTGTACCTCTGTGCTCTCCTGGTGTTTGGATGTATGTTCAGGTATCTGTGTGTTCGTGTGAGGTGTGTGCGTGCATCTCCCTTTTATCAGTGTCCTTCTGTGTGCCTGGGTGTGTCCTCTGTGTCACCAAGATATTTTGGTGCAGCTTTGTGTTTGTGTTGTGTTCATGTGTAGGAGTTGAATGTCTGGAGCATGCCAAGGTGTGGTCCTGTGATCATGCCTGTGTCGGCGTGAATCTGTACATGTCGGCAGGCCCTGCTGCGTGTATGTCTCAGCGTGTATCTGCGTGAGGCCCATGTTGGTGTAAATCTGTCTGTAATCTCGGTGTCTAAACATGGTTCCTTGTTAGAATGCGTGGGTGCCAGTATCATGTGATGGAGGTCCTGTGTGCCTATCAGCATATGGATCATGGATTGGCTTCCTAATCTGGTGTGTGTGTGTGTGTGTGTGTGTGTGCGTGCAAGTGTGGAATGTGTGCCCGGGTATGTGCCCATGCTGTGTGTGTGCGTAGGTGTCTGTGTGTGCTTTGTTGTTCGAACGCGGAACGTGCGGCGATGTGTTCTGTATGTGACATGTGTGGTGGGGTCCGAGCCCCGCCGTGTGTCAGCGTGTGTGTGCGCTGGAGCGCGGGCCAGCACGTGTCGGGGTGGCCGTGACGGTGTGCGCCCCCGCGCGTGTGCATGCGTGCATGTGTGCGTGTGCGTGTGCGTGTGTGTGTGAGCGCCTGCCGCCGCTCCCGCCCGCCCGCCCCTCCCCGCGCCCCTCCTCCCGCCCGCCCGCCCGCCCGCTCCCTCTCCCCGGAGCGGAGTGCGCCGCTTCCAAACTTTGTCTAAACTTTCACTTTCACAGCGCGGCGGCGGCGGCGGCGGCGGCGGCGGCGGGCGCGGGACCGGCCAGCGGCGGCGGCATGGAGTAGACGCGCGGCAGCGGCGGCGGCGGCGGCGGCGGACGCGAGAGGCAGCGGCCAGCGCGGCGGCGGCGGCCCCGGAGCCGGCGGGGCCGAGCCTGCGAGCGGCGGAGCGCGGGGCCGCGGGCCGGGCGGGCGCCGCGCGGCGGAGGCCGGAGCAGCCGAGTCGGAGCCCGAGCGCGGCCGCCGCCTGCCGGGCCTCCCCTCGCCGCGGCCGGCCGCCGCGCTCTCGCCGGGCGCCCAGCTATGTACTCCCCGTACTGCCTCACCCAGGTACCGGCGCCGCCGCCACCGGGGGGAGCGGGCCAGGGGCCGGCCCGGCGCAGGCGGGGCGCGCGGGCGGAGGGGGCGCGCGGCAGCCGGGGGAGTGAGCCGCGGGCGGCGGGGGGTGCAGGTCGTGCTTTGGGGCGCCGGGAGCGCGTGCCGGCGCCGCCGCGGGCACACGGAGCCCGGCCGCCGGCGGGCGGACCCCCGCGGGGGGCTCCCGGGGTGGCGGGCTGCGTGCGTGGCGCAGCCGGAGCGGGGTGCGTGTGAGAGAGTGCGCGCGCCCGGCGGGGTGCGGGGGGCAGCGGGGCTCCGCCGACCTGCGGCCCCCGCGGCTGCCCCCGGGCGGCGTGGCCTCCGGCGGTGTCTGCGCGGTGAGAGGGCGGCAGAGGGTGACCCGGAGGGCGCGGAGCCGCGGCGGGGCCGGGGCTGCTCCCGGGAGCGGGCGCAGCGGTCCCCGAGGGCGGCCGCGGCCGGCGTGCGTGGCGGCGGCCCCCGCGGGCCGCCGGGGTGCTCCGGGCGGGCCGAGCGGCCCGGGCGTCTCCCCAAAGTCTTTGTTCAGGCCTCACATGGGAGCGGGGCTAAGAAAATGGCGGGGCTCCCAAATTTCGGAGGGGCAGAGGAGGGAAGAGGAGGGAGGGAGGGATGGGCCTGCTGCCAGCCTGGGCCGCGCCTCTCCGCCGACCCTGGACGACGCCGCGGCGGGCCCCCCTCCAAACTTTCCTCGGCGCAAACTTTCCGGTCCCGCTTCCCGGGCCGCCGCGTGCCGGACCCGGCGGGCTGGCCGGGGGAACACCGTCCCGCCGTCCGGAGGCGGGAGGGCGGGAGGCGGCCGCGGGCGCCCCGACAGCGCCGTGACCACGCGTCGGGCCAGCTCCGAGCAGAGCGGCGCCGACCTTGGCGCGCTGCGGAGCGCGTCCCGCCTCCAGCGAAGTTCCCGGAGCAGCGCCTGGCGGAGACAGAGGCTCCTGGGTGCCTGCCCCGCTCCCCCACCCCGGGCTCGCAGAGGGCACAGGAGCTGACCAGAGTCCCCACAGCGGCCTTGGCAACGCTGCCTGCAGGGCCAGGCCTAGGCTGGCAACGCAGACTCTGCAGAGGGGACACCTGGGGGCTGCCCAGCGAGCACCTATCGGCAGGACCTGTGTATGTGGGGGGTCTGGAGGCCAGGCCTGGGGTCCCAAATGTTCCCTCTGCCAGTCTGAGCCTTGTCAGCCAAGGGTGCCCACAGCTGGGAGCGGGAGTCCACGTGAACATGGCTGCCTGTGGACCTGGCGTGTGGCAAGGGGCAGGAGGGTATGTCTGGGACGAGTGTCAGCCATGGCCACTCCACTCTCTTGTGTCAACAGATGCAAGTATGTGCGAAAGAGAGGGGGGGGCACTAACTTGATTGATCTTGGAGTCTGTGTGTGGCTCCGGTGGGTTGGCCACTGGCAGGCCTGTGTGGCATGGATGTGTGTGGGCCCAAGGAGCAGGTTTTCCAGTACAGGTGTATGTGTTAGTGAGGTGCGCGTTCACACGTGTGTGTCCCAGTGTGAGTGCAGGTGTGAACAGACACTCTGACAACTGTGTCACCTCAGGGACCCCCACATCTGTGCCTCTGACCAGCTGGTCACCCCATCCTGGGCTTCCACACGACGTTCCTGTCCGCCTAGCTGGGTCTGAGCCGTGGGGCTGTGCTTGGGTGGCCTGCGTGGCTGGTGTTCAAGGCCTGGAGGGACCAAGATGCCACACGGGAGCAGCCCCGTGCCCCCCTGCTGCCAGCCCAGCTTCCTGGCCTGCCCCCTGAGGCCTGGGTGAGATTCTAGGCCCTCGGATTTCACAGAACCCTGGGAAAGAAAATGCCAGCAGGTCCACGGTGACAAGACTGGGGAGGGGCTGGGGCAGCCCCCAGGCTCAGGGTGACGGCCAGGGCTTCGCTCTGTGACACTCCGGAAGGGAGCAAGGACTGGGTTCCGTCACAGGCCCAGGCTGTGCGTGTGCCAGGGTAGGTGGGCGGGTGGCCGGCCGCAGCCTGCGGTTCATCGGTCTGTCCTTCCTGAGAGCTACATCTCTTGGATCCAGAGTCTGCTTTTACAAAATTTTCTGCTTCCATAGTTTGCTCTGTCAGCCCCCCCCCCACCTCTCATTCTCTCTCTCATTCTCCCTTCCTCTTTGTCTCTGTCCCTGTCTCTGCCCTTCTGTATCTCTGACCGTCCTTCTGTATCTCTGTCTCTCCCTGTCTGTCTCCAATTCTCGCCCCATCCCTGCTCCCCCTCCTCCACACATCTCGGACTCTCTCTGTCTCTCTCTGGCCTCCATCTCTCCCCCCGCCCTCTCTCCCTCCCTTTTCTTTTTTTTTTTCAAACCAGAATTGGCTTCGATTTTAAAGTCAATAAATGATTGAGCAGGAACGAGCTCGGAGCAGCGGGGCCCTGGCGGGGGGAAAGGCACTGTGGGTGAGGGGGAAGGGGTGCGTGTGGGGGAAATCTTCTGGAAAAAGCATTGAAATCCAGGGCGGCTGGGCGGGGCGCGTGCTGGAGCTGCTGGAGCCACTGCAGCCGCAGACCTGAGTCTCCGTGGAGGGGCCGATGGATGGCACTCCCCTCCAAATAAACAGGCGTACCCCAGAACGTAGACACACACACACACCTACACCGCCACCGCCGCCAAGATGCAGGTACAAATGACCCGCTCACGTTGATGTCCAGACACAGGGCCATCAGTAAACCCGTGGACACGGGAGACGGTGGGCCTGTGTTCCCTCCCCACCCAGCACACAGAAACACACACACACACACACACACACACACACACACACACACACACCCTTCCGAACGGGACGTGTGTATCGATATCAGCTCACGGACGCACGGCAATACTTCCTGGTCACACTCGGATACACACTGACTCACGTATGGTTTTTACCCCCACAAAGTGCTCACACAGACTCAAGGACGGACGGACGGACAGACGGATAGAAGTACAGTTTTCCATAATGCTTATTGGCTCAGCCAGGTGTGTACACAGACACGCACACACTCACACACACGCATGCTTGCTCACGTTCCCTGCCGCTTGGCCACGCAAGCAACGGGACGTTTTTGCACCCTCATTCCTGTGAAGCCACGCACAGTCATTCCAGGGGAGGGGGATCGGGTGGGGTCTCCCTCAGCTCTTTCCCTGGGCCGCTGTGGCCACCCCTCTGTCCCCGAGCAGCGCCTGGCCACCCCTCCTGCTCCCCGTGCCGAACCCACACGGCGCCTCCTTTATGCTCACGTCTTCTCTCAGCCTCGGCCCTGCCTGCTGAGTGCCCACAGCTGGGGGGGGAGGTGTGTGCAGCACGAACCGGGACGGGACAGGCCGCGCTTGGACCCGGGTTGGGCTCCACGAGATGTTTTGAGGCCTGGCCGAGCTCGGAGCTGAGGGCTCTGCTGGAGTAATGTGGGGGGAAGGGTGCTTCCCCGCTCCCTGGGAGCTGGAGCCGGGGGTCCTGGTCCGGCTAGGACTGTCTTGTGTGGACTCGGGCTCCCCGAGGGCAGACGGAGCAGAGGTTGAGAGCTGGGCAGCGCTGTCAGAGCACAGGGTGTGAGCACCAGTCTGTCTGCTAATGCTGTGACCTGAAGCACAGGATTTTCCTGGTCTATAAACTGGGCCTTCATAGTGAGTGCCTGCATTTCAGGCTGTGATTAGGCTCAGACGTAGTGTATGCTTCAGGGAACGGGATAGCTTGTGGTCATTTGTTTACCAAGCAGAGGGCTGCAGGGGTCCGAGGCAGGGGTGGTGGGGAGCAGGGGGCAGGAGAGAGGAGACCAGGCCTGTGGGGACCAGATGCCTTTCTCTGGGGCTCTGGTTGCCTTCGCCCTCTCTCTAATCTCATCATCACTCCAGAGTCCTTTCTGCATCTGCACCTGGGCCTTGTCCTCTGGGTACCTCGTGGGTTCAGGACGCTTGTGTGGGACCCCGTGTGAGCACGTGTCAGGAGTCAGGGGGCATCCTGGGTGTGTGCAGGGTGGGTGTGCAGCCGTGGCTGTGGCTAAAACCCTCCTGGTGCCCAGTGTCTGACTGGGAGCCCAGCCTTTTATCTGCTTGGTCCCTGCCCGCTGCTCTCGAAGCTCGGAGAATTTGGGGTCTTGCATTTTCCTCCAGCTGGACCGAGAGAGGAGAGGAGTCTGGGATGTCTGTGTTCCCCTCCAGCTCAGTGCTGAGGACGGGGCTCCCGCTGGCTGGGCGTAGAGGGAGGCCGTCACGTCCCTGCTCCCAACGCTCTGCACGGGGAGGCTGTGAGCAGCTTCCCGGTCCTACCGGGTCTGAGCCTGTTCGCCTGCATCTTGGGCCTCAGAGCCACCATTTTCTCGTGGACAGCTGTGTGGCTGCGTGTGTCTGTGTGGGTCCCCTTTGCACGTGTCTCCGTGTCTCTGCGTGCCCATCGCCGGGTGCTGCCCGCCTGAGTGTCAGCCCGAGCTCCATCTCTCTGCATTTCGGTAACGGGGGTGTGTGTGTGTCCCTGTGTGTGTCGGGTGCCTGAGGCGGTCTTTGTGTGGCAGCACCATGGTGGCGTGTCCCTGTACCACGCACACCCTCTGGGTGTCTGACCATCACGGGAAGGGCTGTGTCCGTGTGCTTGGCCCCGCGTGTCGACTTGTGTCGACCTGTATGGTACACATGTCGTTGCCGTGCCTAGGAGTCTCGCCCCCATGGCACTGTGCATCCTGGGCTTTGTCCCCGGGACCGTCAGAGTGTGTCGCACCACACGAGTTCCTCTCTCTGCCTCTCACCATCGTGTGAAATGCCCGCCGTGGTGGTCGGGCCCGTGGCTGGGAGCATGCCGGCCTTCCCGTCGCTTCCCGTGAGGCTGGGCAGCCGTGGTGGCCCCGCAGTGGGCCCTGCCCGTGCCCCTGGCCTGTCGTGGACAGAAGCCCGTTGTGTGGCGAGGTGCGGGTATGTGTTTGGGCCGCCCACAGGCCTCCCTCTGTCTGCCCAGTGTGCATTGATCTTGGCTTCTGCCTGTGACTGTCCTGGCCGGGCCGGTG